TTTTTTTTTTTTTTTTATTTCTATAAGAAACAATTACAAATACCTTTTTTACGTTCATATGAATCTGCAATTTTTGCTCTTTTTTTTTAAAAGAAAAAAATATATTATTTCCTTAAGGTTCATTTGAGGACACAGGAGTATGCACATTTGCCCACATTGTGACGTGCGTTGTTTGCGTGTTGTTGCGCGTTGTTGCGCGTTGTGTTTTTCTTGTTTTTTCTTTCTTTTCTGGCAACGTTATGTAATAATGTAGGCCCCGCACATATGAACCCTTACGGGTGCGCAACGTGTAATTGCCGGAGCCTTTAACCGAAGTGATGGGTGTGAGCGCTAAACGTAAGTACTGCACGTGAATATAATGCGATTAGTTTTTTTTTAAATGTAAGAAGAATCCTAACGCTTAAGTTAAATGCACTTATAATTCAAGAGTGATTTTTCCGAGTGATTTATAGGTACATTGTATATTTTCCCATGAGTGAATATCACTTATATGTTATTAGTACATGAACATGCAATTTACTGGCCGACGGAATTTCTAAGTAAATAATTTCTTTCCGTTGTCTTTCAAATTTTGTGTACAAATTTGCTTAGTGGCAGAAAAAAAAAGGAAAAAGAAAAGTTGCTTCCATTATTTGAATATGGTCTAAGGAGAAAAAAAATGTGACCATGTTTTTTATAGAAGCGTGGTTCATCCGGTACATGAACCATGTAACACAAATTGGTTGGTACATTGAATACAGGAAAGGAAGTGTTTCACTGAAGGCACATATGATCCCTTTTTTTTTTTTTTTTTTTGTAATAATAGCACACAGTATCTGATACATGTTGGTACGAAAAATGTGTGGGCACTGAGGATCAAGATGTAGTAAGACGTGTTACATCAATTAGTAACACTGAGGTTTCAGGGAAACATGTGGCACCTGTCACAACGACATACATTATGGCACCAATTATTATGGCAGTGTTTGTCGTAGGAACAACTTATACACCCCTGCATCCTTATTCAGGTTTTCTCTAAACCTTCTGTAATAAGTCATCCACATATAATCCCCTTATATTCATAAATTGCGTATACACATCTACACTGGCCGTCGCTGATCGTCGTCTGCTACTGCTGCCGTCGTGGCCGCCGCTCAACGTCAACGAAGTGGGGCAGCGAAGAGGGTGCCGCGCTGTTCAGCGGTGCTGTTCCCCATCGTGTGCGTTGTTTCCCCCCGTGTGTGCGTGTTGTGGTGTGGCGGAATCCATATTCGGCAGTATGATTCGTATTCGGTCGTAGCCGTGTCGTACGGGCCGTATGATCCCTATTCGACCGTTTATCGGTAGCGGTCGTGTATTCGTATTCGGCCGTATCATCCTTATTCTTATGAATCGTCTTACTGCCTGCGTATTCTTATCTTCCATTTCTTTAATTTTGTCCTGAACTGCTTTCTTCGCTTTTTCTAATACCCCTTGTGATTTGTCCTTTATGTCCTTCTCCACGTTCTGCTTTTGCTCCTTTCCTGTTTCGGTCAAAATTTTATTGATATCGCGGTCTCCCTGTGGTGCGTCCCCCTTAATATAATTTTGCCAATACTGGCTACAGGGCATTTCCGTCTCCAGTGCCTGTATTTCTCCCAATATGTGTCCTTGTTCCATCAACCACTGTGCTATGCTCAAATTTACCGCTTCAACATTGTGAGTATAGCCCGTATACCCACACATTGTGCACTTTCCCTCTACAACGGGACCCTTTATGCCTGGAGGTGCTCCCGGTTTCTTCTCCCCCATTTGGTGCATTGCTGTATATGCATATTCGACGCCTCTATACCATTTTTGCTGGCCCTTACAATACATGTTCCGTAGTAAATGCCCAAAAACATGGGCCACTTCGCATCGCAGTCTTGCGTATAATTGTTTATCCTCCTCACTTCTCTCCTTCCCATGTTTATCCTTGTCCACTTAATCGTTTGCAAAGAACAATGCAAGTGTCATGAATCTACACCTTACTACGTCTGCTACTGTTTGTTCCTTATGGTACGCTTTCCCGTCGCCGAAATCATTCCAACCACTATTATAGCAGTTTGCCCCTATGGCATCCACGTTCTGTTCGTTGTTCTGCATATATGTCACAAATGCTGCCAACACTTTATTCAACGTTTCCAGTTCCTTATTCTGCGTTATGTGAATAGTAATAAAGAAATACGGAATCATACATTTCAGCTATACTGTGTCGTATGAATACACGTACAGCCACAAATAAGTATAGAATAATATGAATTTATTCTGCTTGAGCCTTTTATTTCTCTCCGTCTCTGTCTCTGGTCTTTGTTTTTTACTCTACCTTACATTATATGGATGCTGCACGTATAGTGCTGTTGCGCGCTGCCCACGCACTATTCTGTCCCCTTCACACTCGTGGTCCTCGGTGTTCGCCGTCTTCCCGTTCGCGTGCTGACCTCCTGCGGCAGCACCCTTACCACCGTTACCACCAGCACCAGGTGGTGCCATGCGGCTGGACCGCGTCTTCGTGGCCGTCGTGTCCTTGGTTGCCACCGGTTTCGCCGCTACTGGTTTGGCAGGTCTGCTGCCGGCTGCATTGCCGGATGATGATGGTGATGGTGCTGGTGTGGCCGGGGCGGGTTTGGCGCGGGCGGGCCCGTTGCTGCCCGCCGGTGGTCTTGGTGCTGGTGCGGGTTGTGGTACGTCGTCTCCTGCTGCTCCCTGTCCCGGTGGTGCCTGATCATTTTCGTTCTTTGGTTGACGAGGTGGTGGTGGTGTCGTTGACGGCTGAGTTGTGTTGGAAGCGCCATCCGGTTTTTTCTTCCCTTTGTCTTTGGTCTTGTCATCCCCGGAACCACCTGTCTGCGGTGTCGCGCCCTTTGCTGCAATAAAAAAGGAAGAAGGAAGTACAACGACAAAATGATACAAAACAGGACACCAGTGGTACAGAAAGAAGGGTCCGGGACGGTGGGGTCAGGTAGCGGCAGGGTACGGTTCGATCAGGTAGCGCCAGGGTGGGGGTGCGGCTCGATGCATGGGTCGGCTGCATGGGTCCAGGTGCACTCGGTGGACTGCGATGGACTGCGCACTCGGTGAACTGGGTGAGGCGGCAGCACGCGTACGGTGAGGTGGACTGTGCACTCGGTGGACCAAGGTGATAGCAGTACAACTTTTATTTGTCGCCGTCCCTGCTCGCCGATCCGTCATGTTTTCCCTTCTCCCTCATCCGGTGGCTCGTCCTGTCCATCGCCGCTTGTGCCTTGTTCTTGTGTGGCGGCGGCATCCGTGCGACGTCGTACGGTCCGTATACGCGCCGTGCGGGGCGTATTCGTGCTTTCTCCCATCGGTCCTTACCTGGCGATGCCTTTGATGGTGTGGTTGCTGCATTGGCGGCGGCTGCTTGTCCAGCGGCAGTCTGCGCGATAATTTCGTTTAATTCGTCTTTCACTTCCTCGATTGCTTGTTGTATTTGTTGCTCGATGTCTTCAGCTTTCTTTTCGTCTGCGTCTTCCACATCAGGATCCGTGGGTGCCGTCCCAGTTGACGCCCTTAATTGGTCCTGCTCCTTCTCCATTTCTGTCTGAACCTCGCCCAAAATCTTCTCTGCGTGCTGCTTTACTGTGTGTTTCATTTCGTCATCTGTCTTGTGTTCAGCCTCTTGGTCCTCTATTGCTCCGGCCTTTTTCAGTTGTTCCCTAGTCTTTACCTCCCTTCCCGTACACCCTTCGCCTATGTGTTCCTGCTCAATTTTCTTCTTCATCTGTTCATTCTGCTTTAGCCATGTCTTCATCTTATTCCTAATGTTCCAAGTGTTCAATTCTATAGTCTTGTACTTCCCCTTCTTACAATGCTGTTCCCTGACTTTATGCTTCAGCGCTCCCGATATTTGGTCCACGACGTACCATGCATAGTATGTACCCCACCAACCCTCGCATGTGTCTTCCCTCAGTATGTCTTGGTATATATCCGCTATTGTGCATCTTATTAGCCCCTTAATCTCTGTATCGTTCTGGGAGTTCCGCTCTATGTCTGTCTTTACTTCCTTAGTCCATGCATTTGCAAAATATATCGCTTGCGTCATGAGTCTGCATATAACTCTTTCTGTGCTCCTGCTCATTTCCCTTGGTCGGCGGTCTTTCTGGCCGTCCTCTATTGGATGCTCCCAGTATGCATTCTCACAGTTCTTAGCATTTTGGTACTCACTGTCATCTTTCATATCCGTAATAAAAATCTCCATTTGTCTTTTTATATCTTCCCATAATTTACCCTGTGGTTACCAGAATGCACATATATATGTGGTCTCACACTATTATTCACCAACCCTTGCAATCATTTAATTATAATTGGCCCTTGCTGCCTGTTACATGTAAATGTGCCGTATGCGGTATATATGAAGCAAGCACGTGTCCGACATGCTGGTGCCCTGTAGTATGCTGCGCTTATACACACATATGTGCTGCCGTGTGCACACCGCCGCACGCGGCTTGTATGTATATGAAATTACCTGATAAAGCGCATCATTTCCCGGTAGCTTCCTATCCTCTGCGTATTTTCTCAATATATCCCCTAATTCCTTAGCCGACATTGTGCTCCGTGCGCGATTAGCTCAAATATTACACACGTTAGTAATTTCCCAATGTCCCGCGTCAACTATATTAACCGTCACATGGCCGCTCTAGACCTTGTTCTATTTTTCCTTTACTACTGATGAGTAATTGCTGGCCTGAACACATAACATTCGAACTCTATAGAGAACAAAACAACTATCTGCCCTGTATGCAATCCCAGTCTTGCACTATTATTAAATGCCGCAGAAACCATATATGGGGCATGGCAGAGGAATAAATATAGAGCCAAAAAAACAAAAAACAAGAAAAAGAAAAAAAAAAAACAAAGAAAAAAAATTTAGTACTACTACTACCGTTCGCACGCAACGCGTCACGAATGCGCCAGCACCCGGTCTCCACGAAACGCCTTCACACACACTGCCTGTCTGTGTGCGTACAGCTAAAAACCGCAGTAATAACAACAACATCAATGCGGCTGCCGTCGTTGCTACCGTCGTTGCCGTCGCTGCGGTCGTCGGCGCATCCGCGTATACCGCATTGTCTCCCCGTGTACTACCGATTCGACGTAGTAGCCGAATGTAAGAAGGAGGAGAGATTGTCTCTCCGAGCAAACGCGTCGACCAACGCGGCCGGGTAAAGCACATTGTCGACGCGGCAGCCGAGTGTAAGCAGCAGGACGCTTGTCTCTCCGAGCAAACGCGGCGGAGTGTAAGACCGATTCGACGAAGGATTGTCCGAGTGTAAGAAGGATTCGACGACGTGGCCGAGTGAAGCGGTTCGATTACGGCGTTCGAGTAAACGATTCAACGACGTAGCCGCGGGAAGGACGGCGACAACGACGGTCGACGCATTGATGTTGTTGTTATACTGCGGTTTATTGTAGACCGGTGTAGAAAGGGGGGAAGCGGGGTGTATATTCATGACGCGTTGTGTGTGTACGGTAGTGTAGTAGTACTTTTTTTTTTTCCTTACCTTTTTTTTTTTTGTTTTTTCTTGTTTCCCTTTTTTCATTTCTTTTTTTCCTTCTTCCAAACCCCACGCTTTGTAGGATGTGTGATTAAATTCAGATAGGGCTTAGTTTGTTCATGGGACATGTTTCCGCAGGGAGCGTACAACGAAGATATATTCCATTCTCGAAGAATCTGAATAATAAGTAGTAGAATATTGTGCCGATATTATATTCAAGCCGTTATCTGAGAGATAATGATATCATTCGTTTCATTATATTGATTCATGATAAGGACAATATGTCGCATCAGACGTTAGGGGCTTTATTAGCACATTATGTGCTGACACGGGGTCTAGTTGATAACAAGGAGCAGTATAAGGTAATTTATTAAGACAAACAACGCGGGGCGTCGTGTACTTATAACAGCCTCTATATACGATAGTATATATACACGCCTGTATATATCATTGTACGAATGCGACGGTGCACTAATTCCATATTAATAATACATTGGACACCCACAGTTGTGGAGTACGTACAATAGTATGTGTACATATGAATATGGCAGACAGAGCTGCAGTGGCCAATTATGCACACACATATATGTACCTTCTGCGTCATACAGAGCAGCATATGGACAGATATAACAGTGCTACTCGCCGAATTTGTGGAATATATGGAAGATGAGACCCTAGACGACCTTGCAGCTAATTGTTTAAACAAGGGTTACACGCGTGAGGGCAACGCGACCGACTTCTTCGTAGCTAAAGTGGGCGATAGAATTATATGTACACTCATGTCACGAGCATTATTTTTCATGAATGAATGGCGAACGCTGTCCGGCGGTTCGACAAATAACGACACTCATAATGCAGCGTTGAAGGAACATATAAGGTGCGCCATCGTAAATATATTTATGTACATTTTGCTGGAATCTCCATGCAAAAGTCGAATGGGTGTATATTATGCATGGCAAACAATGAAAGAGCTGGAGACATATTCGCCTGGATTACTCACAAAGGGCACGTGCCGCCAGGGGGTGTTTACAGATATACAAATCGAGGAATTACAAATGGGGACAAAGATTAAGGCATGGTTACAGAACAATGGAACACTACAAGGCACAATTGGCGGCAACGCAATGAAAAGCACATGCACGCAAAGGATACACGAACTCGTAGGCGCAAAACGGGATGCACATGCCATGGATGCCAAAATACCACTGAAGACACACGAGAGGGACGTTATAAAGCAATTAGGGCAACAGATCAAGGTCTTGGTTCCGAAGGTGCAAAAAGAAGTAATGAAAAAGGCGCGGGAACTCCATACATCCACGCAGCCTATCGAAGACGAAGCCAGTAGCGATGTCAAGGATGACGCAAGTAAGGCAAGAGTATCGAACTCTGTCACAAGCGGTACACCAGCACAATCCGGCAACGTAGACGGCAAAGAATCGTCCACATCGGCCATATCAGGACCCGTAGGTAAGGACCGACGGGAGAAAGCACGAATGCGGACAAATATGACCGAAGACGGCCGAATACTCATGCGGCCCTCATATAAATCGTACGAATATGGATGCCACCACAACAACGCACACGCGGGGGGGAACTGCACACACAACGCCCGCAGCTGCACCACTTCGGTTGAGCCGCAACCGGCGATCAGTGTAGCCGAGGTGTGTGTGCCTGCGTGCGGCCGCGATGACTGTGTAGCGACGGAAGCGATAGCGGCGGCGAGGCACCGGAGACGAGATGAGGGATGCAGCGGGACGGCGCACGAGATGACGGCGACAAATATAAGTGTACTGCTACCGTCCACTCGTCGCCTGCTCCATACGACGCCGACGCCAACACCGTCGGCGCCCGCCCACTCACCCCTGTCTTCTTGTGTGTTCATCAATTTCGCTTTCTTTTAACAAATATCCACCCCTTCCCTTTTCTTAGGTACACAAGGACAGGGATCTTCCACCACACCAGCACCATCGGCCAAGGCAGCCGGCAGCGGAGCAGCAGCTGCCAAACCAGCACCAGCCAAGCCGAACAAGGACGGCAACGGAACAAACACCGCTGCCAAACCAGTAGCGCCGAAAGACTCGGTGGCAACAAAGGGGGTAACGGAGAAGACCGCAGAAGGGAATTGTCCATGGATGAGCATAGAGGACGAGAAGAGGAGGGAACTGTACGTCCTGGGTCCTCGTAGTGTAAGTTACAGTACGGGCAGAACGCAGGGAGGGATAAGCCAAAGAAAAACAGATACAGGATGAAGCGACAATTTATTCATGCTGCATATACATATATGAGGCTGTTTATACATGTGACCGGAAGACTGTAGGTAAAGTATAGACATAGCTACTTTTCTCTATTCTCATACATATAATACAGAGTGCAGCACTGGAAAAAATGAAGAGCATGCTAGGGGCATTTGCGGACTATATGGACAAGGACAAGTGGGACATGGAAGCCGTGGGTGCCAATTGTAATAATACAGGTTGGGATGATGTGGATGACCAGTACAGGACCCAGCAGACAGTAGCGGACGTAATACGGTGCAGATTCATGAGTGTAGCATTAGGCTTCGCAAATGGGTGGACAGCCACAAAGCAGGATAGGCACGACACAGTGAAAATGGATCCGGAAGAACAGAATACGCTGAGATGTGAAGTAACAAATGTATTTGGACATCTACTGAGACACAGATATTGTCCCGACCAGGAACACTGGCGAAGAGGTACAGAGTATGCTTTTCAAACATTCACGCAGATGAAGACGACGCCACAAGGTGGAGCTCCAGGCATTGAGGGTCCTGTTGTCGACGGACTGTGTACCATGTGTGGGTATGGACACAATAGGAAGCATATAGAAGCAGTAGATTTGGACATAGTAACCTGGTTAATGAACGAAGGGAAAATATTGGCAGGAATGGATAAAATAGAAGAAGGGGCTGAATGTAACACGAAGTGGAAGGAGTACACAGTTCACAAGATGAACAAGCATGGCACTGGAAAAGTGGACGAAACACAAATTCCTGAAATAAAGAAAGACGAGGAGAAACTAACGAAGGAGGCGGTGAAAACTATTGAAAAGGTTACAAAGGTAGTGGAACAGAAAATTCAAGAAATAGCAGGTAAGCACACGAATAGTAAGAATGCGCATAACAAGAACATACGGCCGCTACGAATATACGGCAGGTCCTCATGTAAACCATACGAATAGTACGGATGTC